TCGTTATTTGAATTTATCGTGCTGCTATTTAAAACAATTCTGAATTATATATCCAAGAAGTAGTAATTATTGTAGGGCAACATCTGTTTCACCACTTTTCGGTCAGCGGAATCCAGACAAAAAAAGGTATGCAGTGTCTTCATTTATTTGATTGATGCAAGTAGTATGATATACTGACTGTAAGGAATGTAAGTCTTAAAATTATATTTGGATTATGCTCAGCTTTAGACAAGAAGATCTGCAGTTCGGTGATACGAACTCTCAAGACTGTGCGCGGACAAAATCTTGCATTACTTTAGGCTATGATTACTGCTGAATTGACTGTACGTTTTTTAAACTGCCACGAGTCTTATGCGTAATGTGATCGCGCAGGTATTATCCGAAGTTTCTAAAGGATGGGTAAGAGTGGAACTATCTTCCTCGGCATGAGACTTCTTTTTAAGTACTGTAAAGATCTAAGCTTTTCAAATGCGCGTGTAGGCCAAGCCCGTTCATAACTGTGTCGCCTCCTGCACACCACTCTGGCCTATACTACAAATTTTTCATATATATATATTTTTCGTCTGAAATATTCTAAGTAATTGGCCTGGTCTTAATACTGCTTCCATACGAGCTTTCCCTGCTGAAGCTGCAAGAAGTATTGAGTGGTCTCATAATTAATGCAGGTCTTTACCTATCTTGAAATAGCTGGTTTTCAAAGAGAAACCAGCGTTTTTGAAAACTTCGTACTATCTAAAATTCCGTTTCCTCTAGTTCAAGTATGGGCTTTCGTTTTCGCAAATTTGCTAGAACCAGGGTTCCATGCCTTCAAATCGAAGTGATTAAAAACTGAAATTTTTTCTTTTCATTGTTTTTGCTTTGAAACTTTGAGAAGTGATCGGATTTGTTCCAAAAATAATAACGGTTGCGCTACAAAAAGTTTAAGTATTATAAAGTTTTATAATAAAGTATAAAGTCATAAAGTATTAGTTATAAAGTACGCATTACAAAGTTTTTGAATAATTTCCCTCGAAAAATTTCGACTGAAACTTGGCTGTCACTGAGGTCCACCTATGCCATAAAAATATTAGCAGAATAGCAAGTTAACTTTGCTCTGTAAAAGAGATTAAGTACAACTAATGGTAGGAGAACATTAGTAATTCCTAGAGAATGCTTACAAAATTTCAAAAAAGGCAGTTTTTCGCTATTTCCAAAATGCTGAAAAAATTGGGTAGCTTCAAACTTTTTCCAACATTTTCTAGCAGGAAAGATCTATAAAATCCAAACTTCGCTTTTCGCTCCTCTGCTCAACCGACTGTCAGCTATACGGTGAGCAAGACTCGCATCATCCTATTACATCTGAGAGCAAGTTAAGCGCTCTCAAACTACAGCTTTCTAAAAGATTGTTCAGAAAAGTTTCGGGTTAGAAAATCTTGTTTAAAGTGGCTACGATTCAACAAAAGTATGCATTGTATAGCTGGAGGTTTGATCTTTGCAACAGAGTTTATTGCACTCAAAAACATAGTTATGGAAACCTAATATTTGCGCCTATATGTATTTTGAGTGTTTGTATTTGAGATTTATGTGAATTACCAAAGCATATGTCATATCGCAAGGACTTGCCTACCAATTCTAGCACTACTGAGCGCTCAACAAAGAGGCCATTATTATACAACTCGTGAAGAAATCAAGCTTGCTGCCAGTGAAGCTTGAATTTAGCTTCTTCAAAACTTCTTCAAAACTAAAGCTTTGGATCAGGGACGATGTGTATTGCGGCGCCATCTACCAAGTCATTCAAATTCTTTTGTTGTTGGGGTGCCACAGCCTGTTTACAAGCCTCATAAATGATTTAACCATACCAAAGTGCGTTTCGAACGCGGTTTGATTGATCAAATTCTTGCTGTAAGGCCATATGCTTTCCAAGATGACTTGGCCAGGGATTTGTGCGCCGTCTTTTTTGCTCTTCTGCTACGAGAAACCTTGTCGATAAGACAATGAACTTCCCACTCTCGATGAACTGTGTGAGGGTAAACTGTACCCTTGAGGGTACGTTTTACTCCAGAAAGCATAAAACCAGTATTCACGAAGCACAGGGTAGGCTTAACCTCAAGGGTCAAACCTACCCTTGAGGTTAAGCCTTATTCCGAGAACGATCAACCATATTCAACAAAGACTCTGAGGGTAAACCTTAACCCAGAAAGCATGATCCGTATTTCGAACGTGGCTCTTCAGGGTGAATTTAATCCCGGCACAGAGCAAAGTCAACTTTACCCTAAATTCCGTACAAATATAACAGGGACAAAAGGGGCCTTTTGGTTATTTACACATTGTGAATCAAAAACTTTTCTTCTTAATACAAAGTGGATTTCTCGATGCACCACTCAGTCTTAACAATACTCTTTGACTACCATAAGCACATATTTGTGATTATCATTATCTCAAATGTCCTACATCCTCTTTTCATCTCGTCTAATCATATTACAAAATCTAGGATGAAATTTTTTCAGTATTTTGTTGGCCAGCTATGAATGTACCTTTTCGATGATTTGATCCTGTATCAAATCATTTATTGAACGAGTATACTAATGGACGAAAATTTGAAGAGGGAGTTTCATGTCAAGAATTTTTTTTTTGAGCTTTGAGCTTGATGTTCCCCATATCAAAGCCCTTAGTTGGACATGTATAGGCCATATCACCCACCATCGTCGCGAGGAACCACAAGATGAGTCTTCGCGCGCGCACCGCATACGTAGGAATTTGGTACCCAGGCGCAAAATTGGCCTGCATTCCGATTTGGACGGGTCAACTGACTCTACTTCTTTTGATGTTTCTTTGTCTATCTCTGCTTTACATTCCAACATTATTCATGTGCGTGCGTATATGTTGCAATACTTCAAAGTAGCAATAGCGTGAACCATCACTTAAAAGTTTCTTTGCGATCGTGGTCAACACTCTCAGATATTGTTATGTTTCTGAGTAATCTCACTTTAAAATCGATATAAAAAAATCGATAATAAAAAATTTAACCAATACATACTATCTTTAGAACATTTGTACCGATCTTTAGAACCCACGCAGTCAGCTTATTCTAACAGTTTCCTAAAGCGGTGACATTGAGGTTCACACCTAATGACTAGCCACTTCGTGACCTATGGAAGCTCGAGAGCATTCGCGGAAATGTCACCATAAGAGGGTGTTTAAATTGCCGGTTGCTGGGTACCCCAGACGTTATATAAAAATGAAGAATTTGAAAAAATACATGACCTGTGGCATGTTTTGCAGAAGAATGATGAATATCAAAATGCGTGTAGGACTGTTTCATGGCACCTGGTAGGGAGTTCCTTACTACCTAAATCTATTCTAAAGGAAGTTATAGTGCGTAGACCTTCCATAGAAAGGTTTTTGCCTTTTGACTTCATATGGCTTGCTCATCGGCCTTACTGGTCAAATGAATTAGCGCTAGGTTGGCACAACCTTTTTAAGCGATGTGTCAAGAAGTTGAAATGAGATGAAAGTAATGATAGGTAAGGAAATATGGGATAGAACAACTTCTTACTTTTCCAAATTAGCTTCGAGAAAGATCTGCAAAAATTCGATACCTGCCTTGATGATCTTCCTTGTCCACATTTTGCGCGCCCTTTTAGACCGGCAACGTTCTAGAAAAATCCAAATCGACAAGACAAGGCTCTTTGTACCTTGGACTTTCTCGATGGCTCTGCATTTTCGAATGGATGCCGCTCACTGTCTTATTATACGTTTCCATATTTCATATGTCTAATCTTCTTCAATTTTTTCAAAATCTTTCCTCTAATCTCACAAACTAATAATTTCAGCTAAGATCTAAGGCGTTAAGTCTTTTCTGCTTTTTCCTTTGGAAAAGCTGAAAGCATAATTTATGATAAAATTTCGCAAATCATTGGTCAATCTTGATTAAACACATTCAGGTTTTGATTACAATACTCAAATTTTCCGGACTCAGGTCACACTTTAAATGACCTTCCTTGTGTTTTTAAGAATTCTGCATCGATCATATTTTTGATCCTTTGGTATCGCTCTGAAGTATGAAAGGATCAAAACGTTCATTCATGTACTTTTTAAGATTCGTTGTCGTATTAGAACTGTACTAACACTCGAGAATAGATTGCTAACAGTAACTGAGCTCTTTCATAAATGCAATAAATGGTAATTTTGCTGCTTCAAAAGAATGAATGAGAATAAAATAGTAATGGGCGGCACTTCGCTCTCTTCAAACCCTTGTTAACTCAAGCACAGTCCAGTTCCTAGCGAAAGAATAAATTTCACAATCTCAGCTTTTTTTTGTAATGTTTGATTTGATACTCATTTGGTGTAATCAAACGGGTGTGCGCTCTGCGAAAGGTTTATTGCTCATGCGCAAGTAGTCTCTACTTCACTGAATGCTCTGACAAATATCACGTGAAATGAAATTATGCAAAACGCTCAGATTAGTACAGGCTTGAAATCAGTACTCACGTCAATATGCGAAAGGAAAATTTGCTTTTAACTCTCCAGTTCATGCATCGTAACACTCCATACTAGTGAGAAACGCAATCATTTGGTAGCAAAAACTGCGTTTTCACAGAGCTGAGTTTTTTGTCGATAAATCTGAAAACAACTACGTCATAAACGTCTTTATTGGATGAGCTTAAGTTCGTCTTAATAGGGCCAAACAATCAATTGTTCATATCATCATCAGAAAAGACAGTACTTTTCCGCAAGCTTGACTCACTATTTTAGTGAAGAGTTACAGAGGGTATACTACTGGAATGGTAAAATGAAGTTCCTTTTCTGATCTCATAAAGTTGTTCATCACATGATATTTTTAGAGTACTCTGTCTTTCAAATTCCTACGAGTAATATATGAGAAGATAATGGAGATATGTCAGTTTTTTCGTGACAATCTAGCCCAGCCCTGATGATCTATTTTCCCAGTCAATGATTTGCGCGCCCTTTTGGCGCGCCCGGGTTTGTACTAGAAAATTCTCTATCGACAAGGCGGGATTATGGACTTTGTACCTTTCCAAAAGGTCTTTGCATTGTCAAGGCCTAGCTGCCTCTCATAATCTTGTTTTTATTAGGCTTTTCCGATAACTATAGCTAAAGTAACACTTTCTACATCAACTCTCTCCAGGTATGGCCGTCATTCATGATGGGGATCGCACATTCATGACACGATAAAGCAAGCTGTGAGTGAGTGAGTTGCTTTACTTCTCAATCTCCTACCTAGTGCTAAAATGAGATTCTCCCAATTTTGCTTTAGGCGTTAGACCATTGTTATCGTTAGGCAAATAGTGCCCTTTAAATCGGGTTTTCCATAGTATGAATGTGTGGACAAAAAAAAAACAATTTGTAGCAATTTATAGGAATATGAACTCTTCTAATTCTACCTGCCTTTCAAAGACAAAAAAAAACAAGAATTATCGAAGTTTCGTCAATCTCTGAGATATCTACAAATTTACTACTCAAGCGTATTCGAAAGTGTTATGTTCTAACAGACAATCAAGTTCGTGAGGGCTTTTTGTCAGAGTTTTTTGAAGAACAAAAATCATTCTATAAACGCTGAAGCAGCCAAGTACCATAACCACCTATGACGCCCGAAGACCATAGACAAAACTCCAATAGGAAATACAAGTAGCAAAAAAAGTAGTCAGGAGCGCAAGAAAGTGAAGGGCCCTTCAGATACACCGACAGTGCAGCAAGCTTGTCTTTCGTCAGCGTCCCACGACTCAAAAAAAATATACCAAGACAGCTGAAAATAAATTTCTAACTTAGAAGACTTCGAAGCGGAGTGGTCAGTCAAAAGATGGGCTTGTTAGTCGTAGCTTTTTGACCGTGCTATCAATCTTGGAGAAATTCAACATTTATTTGTTGAGTATCTGTCTTTTATGTCACCAGTATGTATGTATAAGTCCACGATTGATTAAGGGTCGACGCATCTCACTTGAAAAGGATTTTTCCGTGCGTGTTGGAAAAAAGGACGAGCAATCAACAACGCGACTGGAACGAGGTGAGTCCATTTCACGCCTTCATGCATGCGTCGCTCCCAGCTGGTTCTTCCCGGGCTGTCAACGCCTTCGCACTTTCTCTTCAAAGATTCTCTTGAGTACGCACAGAATCCTTGCTGCTTGAAATTTTGCGGTCCAGAGCTCGAGTGTGTAATGGGGCCGCCATTAAAGAGAGATCTGTCTCGAAGGGTCTTGTGGGTTCAACTACCAAGTCAGATCCCTTCCAGCTGCGACTCTAAAAACTTTCTAATTCGCAAAATGCAAATTGACTTTTTCGATCAACAATCAACTTTTGGCCCATCACCACCACCTAGATCAATCACACAAATGGGTCAGCATAGCGGCATAAGTTGATTTTGTTGCAACTTGAGAACTTTAGTCCATCATAACTTTATCAACCTTGATAGGCCTTTCAATTTACGTGATCCAGAGTTTTTTTATTTGAAAAACTAAGGGATACAGAAACAACACGAGCATTCTGAATTTGTTCTTTTTGATAACCACCTGGTCAATTCTTGTTTGATAGATAAATCAGTCATAGTAACTGTAATAATCGAATATCAATACAATGGAATACAAATCTCGAAATCATTCTTGTCTGGGTCAGTGCTGTCCAAATAACCTCAGTTTTTTTCCAAAGATTGGAAGAGCCCTTATTTACGAGTGATAAATGAGTTTTGTAGGAACTGTTGCATGAAATCCCAAAAAAGTACGGGATCATCATATAAGATTAATCGTAAATATCAAATAATTCAGGGCTTGCTTGCTCATGTTAGCTTGAAATAGGTCAAAAATACTGGTGAAGGGGGAGTTCAGATTAGGTTGGTGCATAATCAATGCATGTTTTGCAAGCTTTTCTGTACAACATCGTGCAATCAAACTCTCCTTTTCAAACAGGTTTTGCATTTCGCCTGAAAGCCCTTTTTATGACCTTTCTAATCAGCATAAACGAACTTCTGATAGCTTCATTTGTTGAATTTTTATATAACTTCGAACGCGCACACTCGAAACTAAAATTTCTTTTGCATGTCACAAGTAATTTCTATGTATAGTCTAATTAAGCACATTCACTGTATTACCTACTGAATCAACGTGACTATGAAGTTGCTGAAACGCTTAATTTTGTGAGCGTGAAAGTAAGATTGTTAGCATTTCTTTTTTCAAAAACTGTTTTGCTCAACTATATACAAATATCAAAGACTTTCAGCAATGGAGACAATAGGGCTTACTGAAAAAGCAAAAAAAGGTGATGATTATGTTTCTTTCTTTGCGCATATCTAAAACATTCAAACTTTTTTGAGCGCACTTTTATCAGTCCTTGGTTTCAAACTCATCTTCTTGTTCCAAAAGTAATCAAGCTGTCGTTTTGTTAGCAGACTTAGGGATAATTTGACAGAGCGAAGCACACTCTACAAAATGGCTACCAAAGATCCGCTTAATTCGTAAACAGGTAAAATTTGGCGCCAAAAATCAAAATTTTTCAAGTACCCTCAAAATTGGATCTCTTTCCAGACTCCTACTGCTCTCCGACTTGGTTCATTATACAGTAGCACTTAGACAACACACAGTATCCAACAATGTTTTCCTCAAAAATGAGGAATTATAGTGGCACAAAAATGCACAAATGTCACTTTTTTTCGAATATCTTATGTAAAACATATTATAGTATTTCTCGATTACAAAGCAGAAACAGAGGTAAATTCTAAAGTTATAGTTACTAAAGCCTGTAGTATTCGATGACATATGCCGGAGAGGCCGGGGTGGAGTTTGTCAATTTTTGACTATCTTTCTTTTCGCATTTTAAGCGCGAAAAAAATCCAGTAAAGGCAAATTTGAGTACTATCATGTGTCTGCTGTACTCTCGCAAAAACACAACTTTCAGGTGAAACTTTGATTTCAATTTTGGCTCTAAACTTTATGTGGATTACGACTTAGGCGAGTCTTTGATAGTTATTTCGTAGAGCTTGCTCCGCTCATCAAATGATACCCTATGTCTGCTAGGAAAACAGAAATAGCTCGATTTTTTTGGAAAAAGATTTTTTGGGACAACCTGTGCAGAAGATTTGGTGCTCACACTCACATTAGTCTTTTACTGCTTCACAAAGTACAGCTTTGTCAAATGTAGCGCATCAAAAGTAAAATTATGTAAAACGCATCAATTATGTACCGACCTAAAGTGCTCACTATGTTAGCATGATTGGAAATATTTTTTTGAGCTTAAGCATCGCAGCGATCCATGAGAATAATTGATGCTAATAAAATTGCGTTTGCAGTACAACTAGTCAAATACGTCTTTGTGAATGAGTGCAAATTCCTCCTGAACAAAGCCGACCGACCAGTGGTCAGTAATTATCTCTAAAAAGACGGTGCTTCTCCGTGGACATTTTTGTGAAGGGTTACGGAGGGTGTACAACCGTAATCTTGAAATGGAGATTTTCCCAATTGGTGGGGTTGACTGTAAAATTTGGATTTAACTGAACATGTTTTGAAATTTACAATCTGGTAAATAATATAGCTGTTAAAGTCGATGCAAAGTCTTGGGCAGTCTTTTCTTATGAGGGCTCAGATTTGAAGTAGGTTAGTCGAATTGATGTTCATCAACATAATTTTGTGAACATTTTAAAGGATAACATGACTTTTTGTGATAAATACAATAAAATGGAGCTTTCCTTCGACGTAAATTAGCTCCCGTTTGATTCCGGGGAAAAAAGCGGACTTGTCGAAAGTTGATTTACGTGTCAGTACAGGAGAAGCAAACTAAAAGCTTAGAAGTAGGGCGTTTCTCACTTTTTAAAGATGATGATGTACATCTTTTGCTCTTACGGCAGTGATGAGTTTTTGGACTTGGAATTGGATTTCGATTTCTTTAAATGTAAATTGAGATCTTCTGGAATGCAGAAGATGTTTCATTTTTCTTTGTCAAAGTTCAAAGATGGAAACTTAGAAAATTCGCATTGTGACCGAATATTCCGCAAAGTTGGACAACACATCCTCAAAGATTTATTGATATCAGCTAGGAAACACATGTACAATTTAACGGAAAATTTGATAGCATTGCATAACATTGCATTTATTTAAGGACTTCAAAATGTAAAGTCATCAAACTCGCATTGACGATGTTACTATTTATTGTAGTTCTATGTGCGCTCTTGTAGAAGATCATTGATGAATTACAATGACTAATATGTCAAGAAAGGTTGCATCAAAATCAATTTATGTCCATTCTAAGGCCTGTATGCATTGACATCCCTACGGCGAGGTAAGCGACGTCCACAATGAAGAACAAGGGCCGCATGCATTAACATTCCCACCGGGGAGAGGATCGCAGCTTACAAAGAAGCTTCATATACTGAAGCTCCGAGTTCTGGATTTCACGCTGTCTACCCATCCGCCAGTATTCCTACCATCCTTCACTATGACCATATTGAACAGAAGCGAGAAGCTGTACAAGCCGCTATTTTCCTGCTTTTTGTATGATCCCCTGATGATCCCTGGCGGCCAACTTTCTTTCATTTTTCTTCTTCAAACCTTCAACTTCATCTAATCCAGCAGTGCTAAGCGTGTTGTTGATAAGAACAAATGATGTATTGGAGTCATGAAATTTTTGCGATGAACCACAAGTCAAATTGCTGGGGTTAACCGAAAAATAATTTCTCAAAAACTCAACTGTTCTTATCAGCAACACGTTCAGCACTGTTGCGTTAGATGTTCAGTACAACTTTGGAAGGTTTTCGTTGACATCGAAAAAAGAAGAGTGACTTCGAGGAGAAGACGGTCGGCCGCTGGGGATCATCAGGGGATCATACAAAAAGCAGGAAATTGGCGGCTTGTACAGTTTCTCGCTCCTGTTCAATATGTTCATAGTGAAGGAAGGCAGGAATACTTACGGATAGGTATACAGCGTGAAATCCAGACATCTGGAGTCTCAGGATATGAAGCTTTCTTCGTAAGCTGCGATACCCCCCCAGGGGGATATTAATGCATGCGGCCCTTAGGGCGACAAGCCGCATTGGCGTTTGCTTGCGCCCGCTTCATGATGGGGGACGCCGCTCTTTTCGCTGCAGGGATGTTAATGTATACGGGTTTTGGTGAAAGTCGACGGATGGGGCTGGTCCTTAGAGAGAGGGGGGGGGGTTAATGGAGAAGTCCCATCCACGACGGGTTGATGGCAGTATAGGATTCTGTGCAAAGTCTGGGGCAGTTTTTGAAGAGAAAATTGTTGGGGGGGGTGTTGGCAGCTGGGCAAGAACCGGTAGGGAGTAGGGGACGCATGCAAAGAAAGGGAGGGGAAGTCGAGTAGGCAGTACAGGCGGGCGAAGTCATTTCTGTCCAGATTTTGGTTCCGTCGAGTATGCCCCCGTGCCTTTGCCACATGTGTCTCCTACCCTCCCCCTGCTCTGCTGTTATCCGAAACAATATGCAGCTTCTTTCCTTCAAGGATGGCACTGACCGTGAATCCACCACAACCCAGATTTTCAGACGTAGCTTGGCTGGCTCATGGCTCGCTACATGATCTACACGAACAATGATATTGACGCAACCTGTTCTGCCGCCAAGGAACAAACTTTCATAGAATCGCGTGATAATTCTGCTCGACTGTGCCTTCAGAAATAAACTTATGTTCTTCGACACACCTAGTCTTTTGCCTATATAAACTTTTTTTTAGTCGTTTCTGTCATCGTTGTCGTTATTTACACACGAATGCAATTCATATGCAATTGATGCCTAAACGAACACCTAGGCAAAATTCATTTTCTCACTCTCAATCGAAGCTTCAGTCTTTGATATTTGAAGAACAGCTACAGTCTTGTAATCCAAAATGCTAGACTTTTTAACTATGCCTCTGTCTCTATTCGGTTCCTACGACAGCTAAAAGATCATCTCAAAAAATGTGCCGTCAAAAACCACAGTAGATGATGACAAATCTGTTTTATTAAAAGCTGAACGATGAGAATTTGAAGAAGTTAAGTGAAAGAGAGCTCCACCTCGGTGTTCACCTAAATATGAACTAATTTTCAGAAACAAAGAGTTGGAGAACTAAAACTTCTTTGGCGGTCTTCCACATTAGTTGAACCAAAAAATAAAAGTCGCGGATTTTGCTGCAACTTCGTCTAGAGGGGTTATTTTGCACGCTGATTGCGAATAAAATATTTATTTCGCATGGTAGTGAAATCTGGTAGAGTTGCGGTAGGATTACGGTAGGGGGCCAAAATCACGGCCAAACTTCGTTCAAGGGAGTTATTTGGTAAGCTGGACATTTTTTCGGGTTACGGTTGAGTGTACGTAAATGGCTAAAAATCCCGAATTTAATCAAAACTTTGCCTGAAGGGGTTCATATGCATGCTGACTGCAAATATCAAGCTTAGCTATAGTGCGAAGAGCAACTTTTTCGTTTTTGAGCCAAATTCAGATCCCAAAAATCCACGAAAAGGCTTTATCCCACGAGATGAGTGCAATATACGTGATCAGCACGGCGAAAAGGGCACGTTGTTTGTAATCAGCGTGCATAGGAATCCTTCCAGGCAAACTCTGAGCAAATTCGGGATCTTTAGCCATCACCGTATATCCACCATAGCCCGAGAAAATGGCGCTACCGTACGAAATAAATATGATTTTCATGTTTAGCGTGCCAAATAACCACCCTAGACGAAGTTTGACGCAAATTCGTGGTTTTGACACCCTACCGTAATCCTACCGTAACTCTACCAGATGGCACTATTGTGCGAAATAAGTGTGAAATTCGTAATCAGCGTGCAAAATAACCCCTCTACACGAAGTTTCAGAAAAATGCACGCTTTCATTTTTCGGGTCAACTAATGTGCAATAATACCACTTCTTTTTGACTACCCAGTTCTTGCTAACAAGTCATGATCACATTACCTCAGTTCAAATAGAGACTGATGCGTTTTTCTAGTTGAGTGATAAAAAACTATTGTTTATGCAGTTCTTTCCTGCCATTAGGTGAAAACCCCATCATACAAAAAAAGTGTCACTTGATCGAATCGTCATGTATGTCTGTTGCCTCCAATATGCTACACTGCACAAGCAACAAACATCAGACTTAAAGTGAAACCAAGCAATCAGAAATGAAATTTGAACACACTCCCACAACCAACAGCTCTTCTGAAATGGACTAGCTTTGATGGGGATTAAAGATTTTCGAAGGGGTTCTACAGGATCTGTCTCTCAAGGAATCTCATAGCCAAGCAAGTTCCATCAAGCAACAAAATGCAAAGCAAAAGTAATTTTTCTTGTCTGAATAACTTTCGAACTTGCGTGCTACCTTTACACAAGCGAAGTGCGATGACACAGATACAAACAAATCTCAACATAGACAGACATGCGGTGTTTGTAGATTCAGATCCCGCACATTTTTGTATTGATAATTACAATCAAAGCGTTTGAACTAATCCATTCGAAGACAATAAGACATAGAAAAAGTTGATCCGAAAATATCAGTTTGATCAAAATATTTCGAAAGCTGAACACACTTTCTTGGCCCAGTAATACAGAACTTCTTGCCAAAGAAAAAGTTGATTCGAAAATATCAGTTTGATCAAAATATTTCGAAAGCTAAACACACTTTCTTGGCCCAGTAATACAGAACTTCTTGCTTAATTTTTTGTCGGATGATGTTCAACTTATGGTAGGTGAAAATTGTGAGATAATAGGTTGGAACATATTTTTACACCAAAATAGGTACAAACGGCAAACCGCTTTAATTCATATTTCTCGTATATCCTGAATAAGTTTCAATATATCATTCAATAGAGCAAAGCTAGCTCTACAAAACAGTGCTCAAAAATTTACGCCAGCTTCGATCCAGGCGAAGTTTGGAACTAAAACCTAAAAAGAATCCATGAGCTCGAAATTGAGGCAAAAACATAACTCTTTTCAAAACAATCCTTCGAAAATCGCTCACGCATATAGATTTCAAATTAAATATTCATATATACAGTTGCTGTAATTTTTCTTCGGCTAGAATAGAAATAATGAAAATTTTTGAATTTTTGTTAAATCAGTGCTGAGTTGCTATTACGCAGTTGTATATTACAAGTCTTTACAAGTACAACCGTATAATTTCAGTTTTCTACAGAAGACGAAACATATTGAATCTAGCTTTTCTCATTCAGATTTTGCATGCCAAGCTGCCAAAAATTCGATATTTCTCGTACAGCTGTCGCAAAACTAAAAATTTATGGTTGTACTTCTAAGGCTTTTTTGACTTTTCGTAGAATTTTTTGGTCGGAGTTGCGATTGTTCAAAATTTGATAAAGATTTTTCAAGCGCATGGAATTTTTTCTTAGTTGGGTTTGGAAGTTCGAGGGGTCAAATGGAAACCTTTGAGCACTATCTTATAGAGCTAGCTTGTTCTATTGTATGGTATTTGAAATTTTTTCCAGTATGAGGAAAAAGAAGAATTATGCGGTTAGCCTATTTTGGTGTAAGACTAATGTTCCAACTTGATAGATATGTCATATAGAATGGTAAGCGGAATCGCATCAGCCTCTCTTGGAGTCACTGTCGCCTGTTAAAACTTATTTCAATAAAGGATAGTTCATTAAATTTTGAAGCAAATTTCACACTAAATTCACACAAACAATATATCCTCCTTGTGAATAGATTGTAGCTAATTCGCTGCTTTTCACCAAAATCGCAATACCGAAGCAAACACTAGCAGGTTTCTCTCAAAAATACCACAGTTTCTCTATACTAACCATCATCCGAAGCCTAAGAAAAAGTGGTACCGAACCAGCCGCCTGCAGCCGCAGCCGCCGGCGGATTGTACAGTAATGGCGCTGTTACACAAAACCTCCTGCCGAAAGCATGGAACACGCAGCGGTGCGAAAATTGCTGTATGCATCCAACCAAATCTATATCTTCCTTGTTTTTGTCAATCTAAGGCCTTTCCGTAGCCCAGAATTACAAATATGAAAAACCAAACCCTATTTCTGAGAGCCTCCTGAAGGCACAGACGAGTTTTAGCACTTGGGTGGGCGGAGGGTAGGAGGGGCGTGGTTTGATAGCACTTTTGCACTTTCCAGGCTCATTTTCTCCCATTTAGTGGCCACATAGTAGACCGGACCACACCGATGCCCTACTTTTAGGGCCTTTTTTAAACTAGATACTAACTTAGGCGTGTGATAGCAACCGAGTTCAGCAAACCTTATTCGATTGTGTCGGCAAAAAAAAGGCATTGTGGCAAACTTTATTTTTTGACGTTTCGACAGTAGGAAAGATTCGCACTCTACGACCGTTTAGTGAAGATTCTGAACAACAGCGCAATTCCTGTGTAGCCACGCGGCTTTTGAGGTTGGCAGCTGACTCCGGTTCCAGGTGGCTTCGGGTAACATTGCTACCCATTGGAAAACCCTGTGTTTCACACACAGCCAACAAAAAAGATTTTGACACACATTCGAGCAGAACTAAACGAATGTACAGGTTGCGTCAAATCAAAGTGTAGTCGATCATCCTCTGTCAAGCCATGACTGCGATAGGGTCAAGCTAGCGATGCATTTGGTTGGTGCAATATAGATGCATGTTACGAAAACTCAATTCAACTAGCTAAAACCTTTTACAAACATACACAACCAAATGAGAGAAGCATCAAAAGCCCCGAATATTTTTCAACTTAGTACACATTTAACTATAGTGATATCGCAAACGAAACACATTAGACAAACTAATGAAGTTTTCTACCGAAAATATTATTTTAGACAGATCGTAAATCTCTCACTCAATGACATGGCTGCAGAATAGCTTATCGTGTAGGCGTAGATCAAAACTACAACAAAAGTATGACTAGTTTTGGGAGTGATAAACGATCCTCTGCCTAACCGCTTACGGACACAAGCGATCGTAGCCACTTTTTTGCTTGGAATAATAGTATAGTATAGTTGACTGCACAGAATCTCCGGAATGAGTGAGCACCCGCGCGCGTGTCTTCTGCGGACTAACATTGGCATTCGCGCGCATGAGTCATCACAGCGCCCGCACGGTAGCCGCGTTGCAGGCACGCCCGCGTGCGTTCAACCTACAACAACCCGGGCGATCGTGCAGGAGACTTTACCGAAATTTATCATTTCCAGTATATCGAAAAGAACGCCTTCTATTACGTTACAATCACCGAGAAAGCTACCGTCAAGATGAAGCGTAAACCTAGCTGGAGAAGTAAACGAAAATAAAATTGGTTCTGAGGGTACTTGATCAGAGCCGAACGATATTTCGATAGATAAGGCCATAACAGTGATGATATCTTGTTCACAGAGCGTGGAGAGCTTTTAGATACTCTAAGAAACCTATTTCGGAAAAAAATAGAAGAAATTTGTCCTGAGCATGCCCTTCCAGATACGCATCATTACTGCACCAACCTAGTACTTCCATCACATATTCTGAAAACGTGCACAGAGTCTGCCCAACAATACTATACTGAACATGATGCTGAAGAAGAGAAATGCGAGATATGCACATTTTCCTACACCAACCCTATTCTTCTACGTCGTTTAATCCCAGTTTTGCAAGCTACATCACTGACTTGACCCATAAACAGAGCCAATTCTGAACCTAAGTCGTGGGGAATTCACGGACAATTACCATTTGTCGAAGGAAAGGAGCCGCATATTGTTTCCAGATAACAGAGGACCATCGGAAGGTACGGATGACCCATGTGGCAAAAACGAGCAAAGGGGCCTACCTCGTTGGTCCGTAGGCCCACTTGCCGCTGTGGTACCTTGATTGTTGATTCCATCCGAGTAGATTCTTATTACGCGACTTCCGTGTCCTAAACGAGATCTAGCAACTATAGATACAGCAATGAACACACCTACAAAAGTGTAGACAGACAAATGATTGGTTACTTTAGCACATTTTTCCATCACTGAGAAACTGCCAAAATGCCGGGAGGAGTGTTATATTATCAAGCCATGTTTACATGAACAGTAGATAAGTAAATCTCACCTCCCATATATCGACCTGATAAAGTTTGATTTCCTCTCTGATAACAGCCACCTGAAACACTGATGTTTTTCCTTCATGGTTGCTCTCTCTCTCAAAGTTGAGAGTATGGAACGATTACATTAGTTGTACAATTTGCATGAAGTATTAGGAATTCGTTCCTCCGCTTGGAGAAAAATTCCATGGGAAGAAAGAAGGAGAAACTCAATTTCGAGTTCTATTTTACAGACAGGAGTTCGTGAAGCTCTTAATCCATCATGAATGCCAAGAAGATATACCTGGACTAATTATAGAATTTGATAAATTATTTGTCAGACAAACACCATAAAAAAGTACTGTTATAGCAGCGATGCACAATGTCAGTTGTTCAGAGTATATCAGACCGTGTTCTCAGTCACAAAGGCATTAAAAGAAGCGAGAGGTTTAGGCTCGTTTATTTAGGCATTTGATCTTTAAGAGGAGCACTTACTCAATAATTTTTCTCAAAAGGAAAGCTTAATTATTGTTCAATTTTCTTCGACTGTTACAGCTGCCAGTAATAGGAGAAACCCTCCAAAAAGCGATGCGACAAAACATCAGACTCAGGCGAAATCAAAATTCAGAGTTCAACGGATTTAGTTGTTTTGCTACATGTAGAATGTGATTGACAGAGAATTTCTATAGACAAATTCATAAAGTACAATTAGCTCTGTAGTGTTCGGTAAAAAATTATCTTACGTTTTACAACCTCTTCTTTCGGTTCATTCACGAAAAATAAAGATTGAAGTACGTCTCAGCTTTTCGTAAAAGGAATTAGTTCTCGGGATCAGAGGGAAGACCGAAGTTCAAAAAAATTGCCAATATATATAAGCAAAAGGAAAATAGTGGGACATGGAGCAGACGATGCTGAGCCTCTCGTGAAAGTCCATGGTACAAAGTTTTTCATCGTGTCGATAAAGGTATTTCTAGAACATGGCCAGGTGAAAAAGGCGCGAAAGACATTGACTGAGAAGATCATAGCGGTTTGTAACCATTCATATTATCGCGGACCCCACAGCAACAAAAATGATCTACTTCCTAACTTCACAATACTTGTAGGACTTGGGTAGCAGATGGCTATATAGAACAAGGCGATACACCTGTTGTCCGTGATGGTTCATGATTTTCCTAGACTCGTGACTGAAAACGAACCGCTGCCCAGGTTCGCAACTAAGAGAAGCAACTTGAACACAGCAATTAAAGCTGCTCCTTGCATGTCCTTTGAGAAGCCAACTAATTATTTTTGTATGGCCTTTTATATCGCGGTAAGCAAATTACACACATGCGATGTTCAATCGCTTGTACACTGAACCAAAAATTAGAGTATATAAGAAAAAATCGAAAAATTCAAACAAATTAGGTTCAAAGCATTTGTCTGAAACAACAATTTATAAGGGGAATTTCACAAGAGCTTACTTGGCTGCGCACTGCGTCACGAATACACTTTCATCATCTAACGTTTGATGAATAGATCTGGAATTTTATTCTCTGAGTTCCAGATACTAGAGTCACTTTAGCTAAACCATTGCCCAAACGACAGTTCTTATGATTGCTTCATAACCGAAAAACAGTTTTAGACTGCGATCCAGATTGCACTCTAGCTAGCGGACCAATCAGCACCGTGCTCTTATGAAGTGGACCATTCAGCGTCCTTGACTACGACAGATAGCAGAGTCTGCCGGACTAAAACACTAAGTTAAATTTTTAGGCCATAAGTAAAGTATACAAAAGCTACTACTTGAGCATAGGTATAACCTTCGCCTTCGTAGATTTCGCGAAAGTTTCCTTAAAAAAGAAACTATCGCGAAATCTACGTATAAAATACAAAAACACTTCTGAGCATGTCAAAGAAATTTGAGTATTGTAGTCAAAACTTATTTCGCAGGAGACTAGATATATAGACCAATAATTTGGAGACACTCTCAAATTATATGTGTACTTTTTAGTTCTTCCCTTGAAAAAATGAAAAATTGGGATTGCCAGCTTTTCATAGCCGAAAATACTGTACCAGGCGGAAAGATGCAATTCCAAAAAGAATTAGACGATATCGACCAGGAAACAAAACCGTAAGACAGTGAACATTCAGTCTTTGATAATATGGGATTTGTTGACACACAAGTATCAAGTTATTCGTCATGCCGATACAAGAATTTCTGGAACAAAGCTGGGGATGGCGCGCAAGAATTAACTGGGAGATCACTGAGAGATTTGCATCGTCGCAGATATCATCTCGGCCCTGACAGCAGTAGAACTGATTTACTTGTATCTTGCGGTGTACCAAATGGTAGGATTTAGAAAAGCAGACGGCTCTGTAGAACAGCAATACACATGCTAATCCGCGATAGCTAACGATTATCCATAGAGTGACTGAGAACGAACCACAGACTGAAAATGCTCATTACTTTTGATTCTCCAGAAAGCAAAGCGGAGACAAGAGTTTATGCGGATTACTTTGAAGGAAAATCAAAGTTGATCAGTTTCCAGTATTCAATTAGAGAGAGCCCTTTGAGATATGTATACAAATCTAGAGAAACGTATGAAAAGCGGATCCAAGTCCGTTGTGGGAAAAATCTGTAATAGCCTCCCCATCGGAAATAATGGGAAACCGTGCGTGCTAGCTTTTCATTATCAAAATTTTAGTTTTCAATATCGGAAGAAAGACCCAAATCAAAGAGAAATTAATTTTACAAAAGAAACTTAGCAGGACAAAATGCGGCATCCTGTGACAGTACAAGAATCCAAGAGAACGATCTTTGCCAAAATAAATAAGGATATTTCTAGAACTAAGCCGGACGGAAAAGGCACGCATAACATTGATCGGGAAGAACGTCGAGGCAGGGTTTAAGAGTCGCAAACCAATTGGACCTAACTAACAACAAAAAGTAATTGATACTCCACTGTCTTCTCATACTCACACTGTTTTCAAACTTTTCCCGGATAACCAGGAAAAAGAACCTCGTACAGTTGATCTATAGCAAGGCAAGCTGAACAGAGTGCTACGAAAGCAGGCTGAACACACAACAAAGGTTCTTGCAAACTTGCTCGGCTTGACAAGCAACATCTAAACTTGAATTTTGCGCTTTACGACCTAAAAACAGCCTTGAAAGTGCATAGAGTAGTAGACAAGTTAGTTGTTGTATTACTTCAGGTAAGTCCTGGATAGTAGATTGGCAACCGCGTTGAAAATCCCCATCTTCATATGGCCATAGTCCTATAAGTTCCTCATAAAACTTCATGACTTTGGTAGAAGAGTAGATTTCAAGGAACTGAGAAAGAAGAAAAGGAGTCATGTGTTGTGTAAGAAGGAGACAGATCAAACAGCAAACATCTATCTGAGATATATTTTAACATAATCTGCTCAAATTTTCCCACCTTTCCCAGCTGAATCTGCACCACATTTTGCTTCTCCTAAGCAATTTCAACCCCTTCTTCCCATTTTCCGCCTTGCTATCGTGACATATGCCAAACACCTGATGTTCCATCAGAGAACGTAGTAATTTGAGTATTCTACCCAGAAAACTTAGATGGCTCCAATTTTGATTTTGGAAAAGATCAGGCATATCGTACCTGCTCCTATCAACAAAGCCGAAGTTCCTACCAAAGATTTAGAGATCGTGAACTTAACTTCATATAGAATATGACGGTGACATAGTGAAGCGAAGAAACCAGAAACGAGAAATCAGCTGCGATGAGTAAAGGTATAGCACGACCGGGAAAATTGTTGTGGATCTAACATTGGCTGAATACTTCCAGAAATGATGGGATTGGGAGGGTAAGGAAACAGAAGTGTAGCGAAAGAAACTTTGAAAAAGCAATTTTATGCATGGCCGACGCTTGCAAAGTGGTTCAAAGTTGACTACTAATTGGAAAGTTCTGCAGTTTGTCGAAGGTTTCAGGACATTCGCAGATCAAAGAATCGAGGAAAATTCACAAATACGCGTTGATCATATGGATACATGTCCATTCTGGAGACGCCTGGTCAGAGACTAAGACTGTTGGGGATCAAAAAATAGAAATGCATTTGCGGTAAAGTGAAGGATTCATTTGTAGAGCACCGGCTTGAATACATATGAATATGCAGATGAATAAAAACCCTTCATGGGCAGTGAGAAAGATTGGATGATATACCATGCTCTTCCACACTGTGGCAACGGGAAGTCTGGTGAATTTGCTCCTGCGTACCCAATTTGCCACTGGAGCAGAAGTGCTCTCGGATGGGAAAGCCCAAGTACTGTTAAAAACAGCGGCTCGGCAGATTGACAACTTTCGGATATCCATCGTTCTCGGTTCCACTGGATGAGCTAAGTCCAAAACTGTGCTTTGCAGCTTCAAAATATAACAATAACCCGGTTTCCCAGACGTGTAAAGCGTTATTTGGGCGGAACGCGTAAGCCTGCTCTCTAGAACGCGATTGGTTCGTGATTGGAGATACTGTACCACCATACTCATGAGCCAATGCGCTCTACAGGGCGAACTTACGCGGTCCGCCCAAATATCACCTTTTAAGTCTGGAGAAGCGGGTTATTGATCTTTTTAAGCTGCAAAGCACAGTCTTGGACTTAGCTCATCCATGGAAACCGAGAACGATGGATATCCCAAAGTTGTCATTCTGTCGAGCCGCTGAAGGCAAAACAGGGGACAGATAAACTTTCCTACCTGACCGCATTGCCTTCATAAAACTGGATTCTTTTCCAAGCAGCGAATGCGAATTGAAACCCTCAGTTAAGAAGTGCCCTAGAGGCTGCACATATGGTTCATTCGTGGATGAAAAAGTTCAATCTAAACTCCAATCGATCAGGCCTTGAGCATGGCAGGAATACTACCTGTTTGGCTAGATGGAAATAAATTTCTCTGCGATGATGGGCTACCGCTTAAGGATTATAGTTGGAACCGATTCGTATTCGAATAATTCATACAAAATATTTGAGTATTCAAATATTCGAACAGTCGAATACTTGAAAAAATCTAATTATACGATTATTTGAGTAGTCGAATAAATGAACGAACTGTTCGAAAAGGTTCGAACAATTCGTTCATTCGACGACTCGCAAAAACAACTTATTCGAATCTTCGAATATTCGAAGGATTTTGAAAATAGTTATTCGAATATTCTAGTAATCGAGGAGTTTTGAAAACCGTTGTTCGAACATTCGAATATTCGACTATGGCCCCGGACAGACTTCAGCGATTTGATCGTCGCGACTGAATCGCGACGAGACAACTGTTACAACATCATTCCATGCCGATCAACTTGCATTTCGGTTGTGATACTTTTTCAGCCAAATGAATGGAAAAGTCGGCGATTGAGTCGCGACGATAAAATCGCGTGAAGTCTGTCCGGGGCCTATTGCGGGGAATATCGAATATTGCATTCGAATATTCGATGATATCCAACTCGTTTATTCGAATATTCGAGTATTCGATCAAGTTTGATAATTCGAATATTCGAAAGTTCAAATTTTAGAGTTTGCCCATATTCGAATATTGATACGAATAATATAAAAATCGTGAATCGAATGATATTCGTTCTCCCGAAAAGTTTTCAAAAACCAATTATTCGATATTTGTTCATTCAATGAAAATTTCCGTTCGTTACAACTCTAAAAAGGATATGGCTTGGACAAGGCTTCTCAGTCACTTTCCAGATTGGAAATTGTTTTGTCGCTAGTGCCGTGAAGCAGAATACGTTATAACTGGCAAGCAACTCGGGTATCATTCGACGCAGCTTTTTCTCCTCTTTCTAACAGTTGTTTTTTGTTTCCGATTCATCAAGTTTTCCGGGATGAAATTATCATAATTCAGGTTTTCCAAGACGCCCCAGGCCGTACCCCGAATTTTCGAAAGTTGCTAATCTGAAGCGGTGAATGCTCACTTGGTTTGTAAAATTAGTTTCAAACCATAATCCATCTTTACAAGTTTCAAAATCCGAAGATTTATTGGTGTTTGAGGCATTTGTGTCTGAGGCGAGCCTGCCAAAATTCGGTTGTTCCATCAAAAAATCTGTACAAAAATTATGACGAGCTCTGAAAAGTGGAAAAAAGTTGCGCTGTTTCCTGTAGGCTTTGCTTTATCCGTCTATTACCTGGACTCCTTCCGAGAATTGTTATGAAAATTTAGAAAAATTGTGAAACTTGGCCTTCTCAAAAAGCATAGGTCGCAGATTTTCATAATTTTTCGAGAGGTTATTGCATTCTGTGCAGTGATTATATAACCGTTAGAAAGAGAATGAAATGCTGCATCAAACGCTTCCAAATCTTACTCATCTTTGTTCCACGAGATGTGGCGAACGTTTAAAAAAAGCGACATTACTTTCGGAACGACCTAATAAAAGCAATGAATACAGAAAAATTCACACAGCGCTTTCTTAGCTTCGCACTGCGTTACCTTCATTACCAAAAGTGGAGGAGTAGATCTAGAATCTCATTTCATAAAATCCAGGTACTTGAGTCGTTTTAGCTAAGCTATCACTCAAACGACAGCTCGTATGATAACATTTACAAACTCCAACCCAGACTGATGATTAAGTGGATCAATCAGCGTCCTTGAGTACGATAGAAAGCAGAGTTTGCCGGGCTAGAATACGGAACTGAGTCTCTACGCCACGAGTAAACCATATAAGCTACAGTTTGAGGTTTGAGCCTAATAAAACAAAAAGAAAAGGCGCGCAAAACATTGATTGGGAAGCAAGTCGAGGCAGGGTTCGAGAGTTATAAATCTATTGGACCTGACTAATAACAAAAAGAAATTGATCTACTCCAGTGTCTTCTCATGGTCATGCGGCTTTTCAAGTTTTTCCGGATATCCAAGAAAAAGAACCTCGTAATCTTGATCTATAGCAAGGCAAGCTGAACACAGTGCTATGAAAGGCTAAAGCACATAACAAAGGATCTTGCAAACCTACTCTCGCTTAGCAAGCAGAATCTAAGCTCTTTTGTGATTTACCAAAAGCAGCCTCAAAAGCGCACAAAATAATAGATTAGTAAGTAGATAAATTACTCCTGGTAAGTTCTGGATGGTAGATCGGCGACCATGTTGAAAATTAAGTCCTTCATATGGCCATAGTCCTGGAAATTACTCAGAAAACTTCATGACTTTGGTAGAAAAGTAGATTTCAAACTGAGAAAGATGAAAGTGAGTCATGTGATGTGTAAGAGACAGTTCAAACAGCAAACATCTATCTGAGAAATTAACATAATTTTCAAGGCAACTCGTCTTTTACCGCCCCAGATTTTCCCACCTTTTCTAGCTGAATCTGCATCACCTTTTGTTTCTCCCAAGCAATTTCAACCCCTTCTTCCCATCTTCCGCCTTGCTATTGTGATATCTGCCGAACACCTAATGTTCCATTTGAAAACGTAGTATTCTAAGTATTCTACACAGAAAACTTAGATGGCTCCAATTACGGTTTTGCAGAAGATCAGACATATCGTATCTCGATAATCCTATCAACAAAAAGTCAAAGTTCCGATGATTGTGAGCTCAACTCTGTACTGAATATGATGGTGATACAGTGAAGCGAAGAAACCAGAAGCGAGAAATTAGATGCGATTACCCTGCCAGGAGTAAAGCAGTAGGAGCCAGTATCAGACGGGGAAGATTGTGTATCTCACATTGGCTAGATACTTTCAGAAATGGTGGAATTGGGAAGGGTAAGGAAACAGAAGCGTAGCAAAAGAAAATTTGTAAAATCAATTTTGCATGACCGAGGCTTGCAAGGTAGTTCAGAGTTGACTACTAATTGGAAAGTTTTGAAGTTTGACGAAGGTTTCATGGCATTCGCAGAATGAAGACAATCGAGTAAAACCACAAAAGCACGGTGGCACCATTTGCTAAACGACAATGATTACATACACGTCTTTTATTGTGCTATAAAACACATACAGTAAAAAGAGTTGACCGATAGTTGAACTTCGTACAATTGACCAGCTCAACACTAAAACCTGAGTAAAACAGCGATTCCGCAACTGCTGACGAGAGACTAACACAATGTCCTCTGATAGTTACACAGTCATAACTTCTGACAGCAAATTCGAACAAAGAGATGAGCTTTCAAATAAGGCATTACAAGTATCACAAGAGAAATCACCGAAAGATCAAACAAAAATTTGGCACCATAACGAACAAGTAGAATGATTACAAGAGAAGGATACAGTGAGTATCTATTTACAGGGTGAATGCTATATATTCAATTCTACGGGGACTTTTGCATGATCATAAAATCAGATCCAGTTCAGTGGAATGGATATACGACCGTCATTCATGACGAAAACATTCGGATTTAGCGAAAGCTTCACGCCAAGCCCGCGAAGGTTTTTCTTTGCTTCTTCGTCTATGTTTCGAAGTCGTCGAACACATTCAAGAACTTCGTCAAGGCGTAAGCCATTATCCCATTCAAGAGAGAGAAGGCCAAGCTGACGCTGGCAGTCCAAACAATCCGCCTCGAGCTCTGTCTAAAGACTTTGCAATATAAGCTTTACACTATTATTCGATTTAACAAGGTGAAAATTAGATTTCGCCAGCATATCAAATACTCTCTGTAGTGCGAAAAGATGGAAGGCAGTGTGGAACTGATACCCATTTCTCGTAGAACACGTTCAAGCTGTCGTGCGGTTCTCATGAGACTATTTTGAAGACTTGCCCGCCAGGCCAGTACACCGCATTCGGTCCAGGGTATGGTGTGCATCTGCATTTGAACAATTGCTTCGGAAAGGAACTTGACAAAAAATCCCACACCCAGTTTTGCCGCACAACTGCGTTTGAAAATGACACCTTTGCTCCAGCAAGCTGTGGGATTTCCACAGCCCCAAACGGCCCTCTCTACAATCAACTTCTCCAAATATCAAAGGGCGGGGAAGATTCTACTCTTGGACAAGAACAAAAAACTCTAGAACTTTCATGAGAACCTACAAAATTGCCAACAGTCATCACCTACGTAGCTTCTATACAGCTCCTAAGCAACTTCTGTCCAAAATGTTTTTCAAATTTTTGTTGTCTGCGAGCCTCTTATAACCCTGAATCCGCCAGAAGATAATGTAAAATCCCTCGAAAATCAGCACTCTATGGACCCTACTTTCACAAACAAGGACGAGCGTATCGACCCTGATTTTGTAAGATGCAGGCACGAGATAGTTATACCCGTTAAATTTGCTGCATGTTCCTGTAAAGACGTCTACACAAGTGCTAGAACATGCATGAGGTCAAGGGAGCTGAATTTAAAGCACCTAACACTCTAGAGGTGGTTGCTAGAGTCACGACAAACGAACTTGGTGTGTTGTCTCAAATGAGGGAGCACTTAAGCCACTAACGCAGTCTGTAATGTTGATTCTACTCAGACGCTGCCGAGAACAACCTTCTCTTCAACTGCCGCTGAGAACATTCAACATTTGACCCAACACAAGTTTTCGCAGACGTCAGCTTTTGCAGCAGATATGTTTATGTTAGGGGAAAAATACCCCAGGCAACCTACGCGCTTCAATGAGATATAGAAGGAGAACCTAGTGGATAGGAAGCTAATGCTTGCATTAACTCCTTCCAAAGGTCTGCAAAACAACCTCAAATGGACGCTTTTGCAGCATTGAAGGCAGCATCCGTCCAGATATGAAAACTTAGCGTACAGATTCACCCGCCCTGATAAAGCTCGCGTTCAAATGGCACTGCACCAATTTGCTTCTGAAGCGAGAAAACCGCTTCAGAAGTGGCGACCGGAACTGACACGATTTAGTTCAATAAATTAGAGTGCACGTATGGCAGCTGCCATACTTGACCCGCTTGATCCGCCTGATCCTCTTCCTGAAAAACGCGCGCTCACTAGTTTGTCGTTTGGTGCCGCGTAGGTAAAAAAGATTTTGTATGGTTACGGAAAATCACTGTACTCGACGCCAGATGACAAATCAGTAAGCGAGCGTTTTTCATGAAGAGGATCAAGCGGATCAAGTATGGCGGGTGCCTATCACACATAATCAAGATGACCCCACACAACCCTGCGTCTTAATCTTGGCGGCAGCGTTCAACTTCAAAATCAAAGCTCCTGGAATAGCTCGTTTTCGACACTCTCGTACTCTCCTGCTGCATTTTCGGAATCAGCGGAAAGGATAAGCTTAGGTAAGCAAAAAAAGCTTCATCCGATTTTGCCCGGACGCTGCCTTTAAGCGGGCGTCTTGACTTACAAGCCGGTCCTGCTCCGAAGCGGGATTTGCGCACTGAATCACGCGCACTTGACATTATTTTCGCGTAGGCGAATTTCAGCACGGCTTCGTGTTGTACCACGTCCCTATGCCACACCGACTGGCGCGAGCACTTCTATTGCGCCAGTTCAACCACGGTTCTAACCATGCAGAAAGAGGCAGCAAGGCGGCGGCTTTGAGAACTTCGTAGGCTCGCTTACGATTTAATGGTGCCTTACCAATTTGATTATTTCTCCAATAAACACAGTTCCTGATTCAATTTAGACGCCAATCTGTTGCGGATACGAGCGATGCGTGAATTGGCTCCATGCATTCTCTGTATCATAAGCATTGACGGGTGCTCGTGCGGCTCGGGTCTCCCGCGATCGCCTCGCTTGGGCCCTATACCTCTTTCGTAAGCGTGCTCTCTTATCATTCTTCCACGCTGAGCGTAAGAGAGGCCATGCTTCAATCTATAAGCTACTGCAAGAGGAAGGCAGTCGGTTCTATGTGCGACGTGGCTGTGGCGCAGCCGTGTCGCAGCCGCCTCGCACATCGAAGCGACCGCCTTCGTCTTGCAGGAGCTTATACCATTTCATTCAGCTGGCTTGGCTTCGGGAGGGCGGGGCTTTATGATCTAATTAAGGCTAGGTAATGATCAGAGAGCACTCGCGCGAAAGAGACGCAGGTGCGGGCGCGAGCGGCTTCAGTTAGGTCACAAACCCCCGCCTTTCTCAAGCCAAGCCAGTTGAATCAAAGGTTAGTTAAGCGTGGAAAGATGCTTAGAGCGCAAGCTCGCGAAAGAGTTGCAAAGCCCAAGCGAGGCGACCGCGCGGAACCCCAGTTGCACGACGAACCCAGGAATCCATTGCTCCTAATGATGCAGAGATTATGAAGACGCGCACGATGTACGTTATCTAGCGCAATTAGGACAAAAATGTGGTCTGTTTTGGATGTGCAGTCCATTAAAGTGACCAACCATTTTTTGGAGCATGGTCCTGTTGACGGAACGAGAGGCTTCTGCAGAATCCTTTAGAAACGTGCAGAAGGAGGCGACATCGACGTTGCAGGGGATTAACAGGCGACCATCCAAACCAACAGCAAGCTCATCGTACGATGTCACCACCTAGAAAAACTTGAATGAGAACACACAGTATGACAACAACAGGTTTTACATACCTCGATCATGGTTCCTTTCCCATGTTTGGCTAAATCTGCTAGAAGATCTTCCCTGCTTCGCAATCTGCACAAGCATAGTAGTAAATGAATTTTGAGTCTCTACTGAAGTAATACCTCACACTGAGACTCTGAATCTGCTGAAGAGTCTGAGCAAGACCTTTGTGATGAGGAACGATAACAACAGCTCCTCCAAGTAACTGTCGCAGATCGGCTGTTGCATTTCGTAACTGAGGCAATTGGGAACGACGAACAGATGCTTCCAGGCAAATCTAGATCAAGTTGAACTGAGACCGGAGAATGGAAGTAGAATACAGAAAGTTTGGGAACATGCTCCAGCTTTTGCACAAAACTTCAAGAATGAATGTTCTTCAAAACTATCGAGCGCAACGGTTTCCTCCGATTTTGAAAAGTAGTGCGCTAACATAAAACCAGTCTGAGAAGGATTGTTTATGTCTTCTGACGACTGTGCTGCATTCAGTCAAAAATGGCAATTTCCATCTCGAATCACAAAATTCTGTCATTCTGTGCAATAACATGCAACGAATGTAGGATGTATGTATATACTGCTCTCAAAAGTTGTAGCAGATGTACACATGATAATTATCATTCCGACTGAAAAAAAAACTGTAAGAGAGCCTGCGCTAGGAAAGAAGCCATGACAGGGTAAATTTCCAACATTCGATATAACGGAAAGGCCAAAGTAGTCCCAACATACTCTCCATGGGGGTAAGAAAAAATCTGTTCATATTGCTACAACACTAAATAAAAAAGGAAGTCTTCTTTGAATAACGTTGTCACTTGCGCAATAAATTTAAGATATCGCCATAGTTTCTCATAAAGATCCGACAAAACCAAACTTCAGAAAATCAAGATGAGTGATGCGTGAGTAGGCCACCAATAACTCAAAAACAAGTCCCCAAAGAGCGGTAACTTTAGGCCCACCGGTGAATAATTGAAACATCTCTAACGCATCGGAATATCACAAAGCCTTACAATATAACAAGGTTTTACATAAACGAAGTCAAGGAATATGCTGTGCTCTGAAGCGATTCATCTGTTACTCTCGGAAACAATGATGCAATTTGAAACTAATTACAATGTGAAGTGAAGTGGGCTGTTGAGAGGGCATCATATGTGCAAAAACCACAAAGTAAAAAGCGATTGTTTCAAAGCTTCCTGAGATTCATTCACATTGATAAAATGCATCACTACTGTTCTTTGAAATTTGTGTTTGACTTTGACCGTGAAAAGAAAAGACTGATAAGACGCTGGAGCAACCGAACTATGATAAAGCAAGAAACGATAAGATATTCGGGAACAACAACAACTGGTGTTACCTGTTCCCACTGTTCGGGCACGTGGTCAGCTCCCAACTGGATTGAACCATCGCAACAAACAAAGGAACCGCGACCAAACCTAGAAATTTCATTCATTATGGTATCGACGAAAACGAACAGATCGATTATATTGTAATAGTAAGATATATGAGACCTGAGTACGTTTTTGTACAAAGCATGGATAATTGTTTCTCTGTCACCGGGCAAAGAATGATCGAGAAGCCTGTTCAAGTTAGCTAAGCATCTCCTCATGTGTGATTCCGCCCAATCCATTTGCCACACAACCTAGGAACATGTGCTTTAAAAGCAAACCAGAATCAGTTCGTAATTGATAGAGTAGAATCAACATACATCTTTAGCGCCTGTTCGCCATTTAACGTCGTCGATATCATCCTTCAGCGTCATTTTTGTAAGCCTAGAACAACGCAAGAATAGTAAAAAGAAAAGAGATAAGTAAAACGTGACAATAAAAGGCAACACTTGACTGACATATGGGTATCCAAAAGAAGTACAATTTTTAGGTAATGGTGAATCGAAGCTGAATAGCGAATCTAAGCAAGCCTTCGAAAAGCAAACATTTCTGACATCAAATGTGAAGTCAAGACATAATGCAAAGGACTTGAAAAGAAATTTTACTTTGAGTACAGCGCAGTTGCGCAGACTCCTCTAACAAGAATGCTGCACACAAGGACACTAGGTTCAAGGTTGAACACGACCAAAGAAAAAAGACTCAAAAAACAACATCAGATAAGATAACTGCAATAAACCCACTCAGCCTCCTTCGATTTTTGGATGGCAGCATCCCGCGAGTTCCTCAACACGAATCTCAAATCATTTCTAGCGCTTTGTCGTTTCTTCTTTCGTAAGTATCTATAAAGAGATAATGTACGCTTTATCTAATGAATGCGTATAACTCACATTTTCAACAAGTCTGGGTTTATATTTAAGTTTCTAGCAAAATGAGTGCCTAGTGACGGTGACCAGGAAGGGGAGCTACTGAGACTTTCGACAGGGATGTCTTTTGTCGGCAGCTTACAGCTTTCGAGTGCATGCCTGTAGAAAATGATGAATTCTTCACACATAATTAGTGACTCCAATGTAACAATGAAGAAAACGGAGATATAACTAGCTGTAAATGTACCTCACAATTTGCATAGGGTCAGTCCCACTCAGAGTGATGTCGACATCTTGTAAGTCGTTGTTATCCTTGTTAACTATCGAAAAGCGAACACCGATCGGTCGAATGGTACTGGTTACAGGAAAAAGGTCGTTCAAATAGCCATTGAAAACCTGAAACACTCCACCTGTTGTTAGCAAAAAAAGTCTATCTCAAAAATTATGAAGTGTATAGGACTGTGTTTGTATTGTTTTGCTTGCTGCATAACTAACACTTTTAACGCTGAGAATTTGATGATGTGCGTAGCTTGAGCCACTTCATTGCGGATACTAACTCTGTCGGAGCGCCGGCGCTTTTTTGACCGAATTCGGACGTAAAACTCAAACTTACAGAAGTGTCAACATATCGGATCAATCAGAAAAGAAAGGATATAAAGGTGAAGAACAAACAGAAAGGTAAACATAAAAAATTATCCAACAAGTTACCAACCTGGAGTGACTTCTCATTTTGAGCTCTGGCTTTGGGATTTCGGGCAAATCTGTCTGGGTGAACGGCAAAGTAGAAAGGTCTCAGGGCAATTGAGACATCGTGTAGAGATACGCCGCGGGTGGCCATCTGCAAGTTTTAAGCTGATGTCGAGGCAAATAGGAGGATTGGATAGCTGCTCATTGAACAGATCGCACTACAAGGAGGGTAATTCTAGACAACAGTAAACACATCAATCCAGCTACGCGTAAAGAGATTATAGATACGTTGCTGATAAAGGTGGGAAAAGGGGCACGTCGTCAGTGCAAGTGCAGTCGCGGTCAGTGCTTTGGTGTCACGCAAATGACATCTGTGTACAGTTGATGTAGCGTCAGTTGTGTCGTTTCCACATTGTTTAGTATTAGTGAGAAGAGGGGGGGGGGGAGCTTAAAGAAAGGCTTTAAGGCAGTATCCGGACAAGATGTGGCTTTGGGATTTCCGTGTCATGCGAAAGGCCACTCTCGGACACGCCATTGCACAAGTGCGAGGCCATAATGTTTGACCACAATCAGAAAATGCGATCGGAAAGCTGAGAACCTAACGCTTTTAATATAAATTTTCGGATCCGGCGTTGCGAGTAACCCCAGGTAAGTGAATTTTCAGAAATCAGGTCATTTCCCCGACACTTCTCAAGCACTATGCAAATACTCCCTTATCTGTTGGGCATAGACGAGAATATCACGAGCGCAAAAAAGTGCTAGTTGCAGCGGGGATATAATGTTTTGCTTTGGTTCGTAAATGGCACTGAGCAGCGTCCCAAACAATGAGTCTGCAAGTGCACCATAGGGCGCCTTGAGGGTGGATTCAATCATTGTTTCGAACCGTTTGTGCTCAGTCGCGAAGTATCATCTATTCTATGATTAGCAGACGCGTGACCGCGTCCGCATTGCGGACATTGTCTTAACATGTTTGAGTTTGTTCTGCCCTGTTTCCAATGAGCGAATAAACCTGGACAAGATAAATGACGAATATAAAAAAAAACGAATATAAACCTGCTAAGTACACGATTAAGCTTGTTTAGACAATGTATGCAGTGCGGTCTCGCGTCTCTTACTCAGAGAATGAATGAATGGTAGATACGGAGAAACACTGCAAACTAACGTATGTACAATTTGTGATGATTAATTGTGGTGAAACATTGCTGAATCAACTTGTTCTTTTTAAGCCGATGAAGTTTTTATGAGAAACATGAGGCAAAACTGCGCATTGTCCCGCATTATTCCGCAGTCCGCTCACTTACTGCCCAATAAAAAATAGGTAAATAAAAATCGATGAGCAAATAGATGCGAACTGACGGAAATTGAATCATTCGAGACAATTATTTTTTTATCAGTTGTGAAAATGACGATTTCTTGTTTTTTCATGCTGTCAACCACGTCATGATTTCTGTTCTGATTTTAGATCCAGCATGTGTTGTTGTAGACGGGTCAAGGTTCATAATTCATAGATTAGGAACAAATTTCGAAAGAAAGGGTTCTTTTGGTGTTAGAGATCAAGACGTCAGCTCAATGCAGGACAGCATCGTCCTCGATGTAGCTACTTATGTAAGTAAATGACTTGAAGCGAATATAAGAAAAACTTCAAGTGAATCCGATCTTAGATTATTTACAAGAATATTCGGCCAAAGGGGGGGGGTCCAGGTTCGGTCCCGCCCCTGGGCCAACCAAGCCCTCTACCCTCCGCGGCAGGTTTGGTACCAGAATAACCTGGGAGGATAGAAGCTTGACTTGGTGATCGGCTGGCCCTCGCACGCACGCATTTGATAGCCTCTTCAATTACGAAGTAGAGTGAGTTCGGCGCATGCCCTCAGGGGTTATTAAAAACCCCGAATCCTTTATCCTTTACATTCGGTAAAAGTGGTCAAACGAGAGTCTATAGGCTAGCAGACTGGACGCATGTTCTTGCGTCAATGACAGCATTTGCGCGTAAGACAATGTGCAAAGACAATGTGCGCTCTATGAAAATTCTACGCGCAGATCGTAAGCAGGCAGGCAGCATTGTAGGTAGGTATCTATAATGACATTTTTCCGCGCAAATACTGTCGTTTGTGCAGAAGCACTACATTGGCGCACACTACATTCGACCTTCAAATCAGGAGCGTCATCTGAAGGTCCGCCAAATGAGGGTGATGGAGATGGAAGAACAAGTTACTAGCTGACTTAACCTAGTACCTTACACGAAATTCATTAAATGATCGCTTAGGAAGATCAGTAGGTTGGTATTCAAAAATCTGCAGATATAGGGTTACATCAAGTTTCTTCAATTTTCATGATGGTAGAATATCTGGTCTATCGTATTTGAGGTTTACCCACGTATGATAGATCTTATACTCTATATAATATACCTCTGCACTGAAGACAATTGCGCGAAAGCCTATAGCCTTGCAACTTGCGCACAAAACGGCCTTAGAGCGTACAAAGCAACTATTTATGCGCAAACAGTGTCTTTAACGCAAAAACACTACATATAGTCCCAAGTATAGGCTAAGCGTACAAAAGAGCATAAAACGAAAATTCAAAATTTTTAAAGGTGTGTGATGTCTCCAGGTGACTGCGAAGATAACAACTGGAACCTATTTAGAAAATGGGGCGGACAGAAATAGGGCGCATTTGAAAAAGTAGAACCGCGTGCAAGAACCAGTTTCACGGTTTTGTCACGCAAACGTGAGAATTTTTAGAAAATTAGATGTCCCTCACCCTTCACAATTAAATTTAATGGATAGCACAAGTGCGGACGGACGTGAGAACGCTCACATACAATTTCTCAATATGTTTTTGTTTGTTTTCGTGAAATTCTAAAGATCTGTCTTCTCTACGTCGCATATTCGTGCGTGCTTCTTCAGACAAATTTACAGAAAAAAAAGAAGAAAGGAGAAGGTTCATTAGATAAGCGCACATAGAAGTACGATACAAAGTTCACAATCACTTACAGATAGTGATAATTTACCAAAGAGCTCATTTTGATTAAATGGAGCTATTTACGGATAACATCATCCGCTATAGGTTTATGTATTCCATGATACTCTTCCCAGGCTTCCAAAACGATTTCCTGGCAAATATGTGTGTTATTATGTATTTTGTTTACTAAGCTTGGATCAGAATGTCTTTGACCAGATTTGCGGAGTAGGAAATTTCGGGCAGACTCTAAGGTTCTTAAGGTTGTTTACAGCTCACAGGTTTAGGGTTCGTAAATCAACCATAATTGTAACCTTTAATTCAAATGGATTGGCGGCTGGAAGGCGGAGCTTTGTGACCTAATTGAAGCCGCTCGCGCCCGCGACGCAGTCAGCGTCTCTCTCGCGCTCGTGCTCTCTGATCATTCCCTAGCCTTAATTAGGCCACGAAGCCCCACCTTCCAGCCGCCGATCCAGTTGAATCAAAGTGTCATAATTCTGCCTTGTTTCGTACGTCTGAAGAAGAATTAGCTGACGAAAACAATCTAAACAGTCATTAAGAAATTTTCGTGTTGATATGGTTATATACTTCTCGACAAAAAAGAATTCACAAGCACCGATAACTGAGACGACTAAAAAAAGTTGGAAAAGCAACAACTCAAATTGATGTGGTGGACAAAAAGAGCAAACAAACATCAACTGATAAGAAGTGGACCCACGTGACAGTCGTTCGTTATGTTGGACAAAAGAACGGCGACAGAGTTCAGCGAAAGTTTCGTCGTCACACCATTTTCGGTACTTTAGATAGTTCTCTGCTCATACGTTAGTTCCTAACGTGCATCTTTTCCTACCTTTAAAAATTAGTAGTTATTTTTACACGCTCACACTAATTTTTGATTGTTCAAATAGACTTTAAGATGTAATAATCTTATATATGAAGCTGAATGTGTGTATGTATGTATGTATGATGTGCGTCCTTATGTGTGGAATAGACTTATTTCTGAGCCGACTTGGACCAAACTCGGCACGCATATACTCCGGGACAGGGAGTGTGTCATAGGCTACTTTTCGTTATCGATCGATATCGATTTTTTGCAGGCTTCAGCTACGGGGCTGGGAGTTGGCACACGGGGTAAGTGAGCATGGCAATTCCGAATACAATATTAGTTTTCAGAATTATCGATTACTTTTATCGAATTTATCGATTTTTTGCAAAGTTTGAGCTACAGGGCACAGGGGGGGGGGTATCGAGCATGCTGATTAGAATGGTATTACCTATTACTTTTATCGATTTTATCGATTTTTTTGAAATTTGAGCTGAAGGGCTGGGAATTGGCACAGGGGGGTAGGTGGGCATGCTGATTGCGAAAACAACACAGGGAACGCGAAATAAAGTGTAGAAGTGGACATAGGGAAAGGCTGTACAGGGATAGGGATGGGACCTTTATTGCAGTGTTCTGACAGGGCCGAGCGGAGCCGGGTAAGCTAGCTAGTTAACAATATTTTCCGTTGCTTGTTTTGGCAAAAAAACTATTACAGCCACACGAACAAGAATCTGCCCATTCCATTCCATCAACAGGCACATCTTTTCTCACAGTTATGTCTATGTTGAAGAAATATAAGCAAACTCATTTAATACGTGCACACTCAAAGGCTTTCAGTACGGACTTGCTTGCGACACTCTATATTTAGCCCGTCAAACCTTTCAGAGGCTCTGCATGACCGCGAAGGTCGGTGAGTTTGCGACCATTGCACAAGCATGATGCCACAAACCCTCAAGTTAACCCGTGCTTTTGAAAATCGCTCAAAGGCAGCGTCCACCCAAAATTTCGACTTCCATGTTTTCGCCATTCTGGGGCCTCTGCGTGGCCCTGATTACAGTTATGAAGTTCAAATCGTCCAAAACCCCAAAAACCCGATTCCTGGGGACTTTGTCTTGAGGGCGTGGACGGCTTTCTACATGGGTGGGCGGAATTTGATGGGATGTGGGCGGGGCTTGATAGCACTTTGGCTGTTCCAGGCTCATTATCTCCATTCAGAGAGACAACACTAAAGGACAGGACCTACGCAGATGCTCCTCTCCTGGGGTCTACATTCAAGATCGGCACTAATTGGAGGGGTTAGATTTAGCCTGAACACTGCCTTTATGGTATGAACTTTAACATCTCATTGAAAAGCCTTTGGAAGAAGAAAAGAAGACGTGAGAACGCTGATTACATGAGCCACTGACGAAATTCAACGACCTTCGCGATCACGCAGAGCCCTAACAATAAGTTTGCAACAACCGAGTTGATTTTTCTTCTGAAATTGATGTGAAAACCTCATAAAGGACTTCAACGTTCACTCATTATTATGATTTGCTTTGCTATGATTGAAGGTCTTTCATTTCATAACTTCTCGCAATTTTCTTGTACGAAAAATCCATTGCTCTTCCAATATAAAAAACTATAAACTGCGGTGGCAGTACTATCAGCATATTCGAACAAAGTTGGTGTGACACAAATGCTATATCCTGTATGACACTACCGTACATTTTTCAGCTTTGTAATAAAAATCATAAACAGAGAGACAAGTATATGGTATCCGTAAAATAGAATAGGAATGGTATCCCAAGATCATTTCCCCACAAAAAAGATTACATAAAAGTTCAATGATTTATTGCAAGCTGCAACATGCAGTACTCATCAAATACAACTGGAGGTAAAAAAAACAATGTACACCGTAACATAGTGAGATCATTTTTTCAATGAACAGTCTGTGTCAATACGTAATCCCTTTTGCGTAGAAACTACGCACCCGCAACGCGAGGATCTTGCGTGTTCTAGCATGAGCTCGAATCAATGCGGTCCGTGAATGCACGCCCGGGCGTACTTCACGCGATTTCAGTCGCAAAGCGATTTGGCAACACCTGTTCATAACTCATTGTGCGTACAATGAATGTGCGGAAGATAGGGCGTTTATCAATCTGCAAAACTTACACAAGCTATCCAGGGGATCTGCCAGTATTGGATTTGAAGATATCTGGCACTTTGCCAGATCGCGTGGCGACTGAAATCGCCTGAAGTATGCCCGAGGCCAAAGCCGCGCGCGAATGGCGTGGAGCTCTTGCGTGCGATTGCACCGATGGAAAAGGGAGTTGATAATGACATAGACTGCAGATATGGCAAAGTATATATGTTTATATGTCTATAATATATTACAATTTTACAAATACTCGTCAGTCATCGCAGCGGCATCCAGTGCAGTTGCCGACATCCGTTTCTGACCATAACCCTGAAAGAACATCACGTTATTATGTCTTGCAATCGCGAATGGGTCTACTTCCGGACTAAGGCGGATGGTGTTGTTGCGGAGCAGATGCGAAAGCGGCGGTCGAACCCCTTCCACTGCCGAAACGAGGGGTGCAACCGCAAGCCGATAGCCAATCACGCGCCGCGCTCGCATGCATTCAGGTTATGTGGATGTCCGCCTTCGTCCGGAAATCGTGCCCTAATTTTACATTGTAGCTACCTGAGTTACTTTGCGCATCAATCGACTTGGTCTGCGTAATTTATGAATATCTATAAGCTGTACAGAAAAGCGTGGACGCCATCCAGCACCATCTGCTGGAGATGTGATATATAGGACTTGTCGCGAGAACAACTGCCGAAACTGCAAAAAAAATCATTTGACCGGTTGATCGAGAACAAAAGCCTTTGGCAACAATGTAAGCGAACCTGCAGTTTAAACGACGAGCTCATCCCGAAATAGATAGCAAAATTGAGCGGATAGGTTAGTATGATCAAAAAATTCCTAAAATAAGGCTATTCTAATGAATACTTGTTAAATAAGTTATAAGCTCTCACCTTATTATAAGCAGATTATTAACAGTTTTGTAGTCGCTCATATCGAGCAACTGATAAAATACAACTAACAAGTGCATGATAAAAATCAATGCTACAGGAATTTCAATTAGCAGAAAAATGGCGATGACGACGAGCAACATTCTCGTAGTGGCATGCATAAGTCGATTTGAAGACAAACACCCGGATGTGGATTGCTGAAACCAAACTTTTTTAAAGAAGTTTTCATTTTGCAAGATAATCAGAAAAAGTTCTTGTATTGAGAAGAAGAGTAGATTTTCTACGAGAGTACAATCGTACTGGTGCTCTAATTTTTAATTCTCATCTTTACAACAATAGTAAGTCTATTTGAAAAACGCGAATTCCAGAAAAATGCGTAGGGAGGTTCAAACAGGAACATATTAAGTTGATGCATAATTCTTATGCACCAAAATTTTTAAAATTCTGTTACTTCATCCAGCTGCGATGAAATCTTCTGGTTCGATACAAAGTAGAGAGAGCAAATCTTGCGCTTCCTGATGGTGCTCGAGCCAAAAGTCCTTGAGGGCATATGGCAACGATACAGGGTGAATAAGAGAAATACCCAAAAAGTGATTTTGCGATTTTTAGTCACTAAAATTGCTAAGACGTCTACTAGATTTTAAATTTATTTTTGGTCTAAGTTTTATGGCATGCTCTTTTCAACTAAGAGAAGTTGGTAGTGATAGGATGTCTTTGCGAATATTTACGAATTTCGATTTTTTTGAAATGACTTATCGATTTTGTTTCAAATTGATTTTCTAAAATGTACTGTAAAATACTATTTTTGATATGCATAACATAGAGCAGAACATGTAAGTTGACTAGTTTGTTTAGGCATTTTTTAAATAATTTTTTTGTATTTCTTGGTGCAAGAATTATGCATCAACCTAATACAAACACCTTATCTGTCGTGCATTTATCTATGCTGAATTATTTCTGACCTCCTTTTTGGAATATGTCAAAAACAACTTTATAAATTTACAAAATCTTGCCAATTCGTAATTGCATTTTTGGCCAGACACTAAACACTATTCTCACATTTCGTATGCATGTCATATAACACATCATAGTAGAAAAGACTGAGCTGCTCAGTCACTCAGTTCAACACTTCTATACTATTGGCAAGTCCATAATTGGTTCTTTGGCAAAATTTCAGCGAATAGAGAGGAGAAAAGTGATAGCGGATATTACTTGCAAAACAACTAAAGCTCAGCCCACTACTGTGTTATAAATTCATAAGTCAGGTGTTTGCTAAAACGCCAACCCGAATTTTTAGCGCAGGGTAAGCTAGAGGGAGCGTATATTTGACGCGCAGACATTTCGGCGCAAAAATTGAAATTTTCCTGTGGTTAGGATCGAATAAACAAGCTAGTCTGCGCATGGAGCCTTAAAATCATTCAAAAGGCTGCTCGGAGCTCTATCAAAATCTTAATTGCATTTGATTGGTATAAAATAACTAACCGTTTTACGACATGGGATCTGATGTATGCTACGCTTTCGATCTGCTTCGTTTACGGTCTTGAATAAACATGTAGTAAAAATAATAAGCAGAACACATGGCAGTATATGAACAAATATGGCTCGAAGGCACAACATCATCGCTTTCCATGAGTCGACGCCTATTACCTGGAAGTTAGAACGCATTAAGTCAGCTGAGGGTGTTTGAAGGCAGCGTCCAGGCAAAATCTGTGTTATTCCAACTAATACTTAGTCTAAGAACAAGACCGGGAAAAGGATATTTGCATTGACTTGATCCTCCAATGTGGCTTCCGAATGGGGAAAATGGACCTAGAGCCCGCGAAAGTCTATCAAGCCACGCCCACCCTATCAAGCTCCGCCCATCCAAAGACCGAAAACCGCCCACGACTTCAAAGCAAGATTCTCGGAAATTAGGTTTTTGGCGGCTTCGCACATACTGCACTTCATGACTGTAATCAGGGAAGGGCCCCCAGAATAACAAAAATATGGAAGCCTAGATTTTGAGTGGATGCTGCTTCTGAAAAGTCAAAATGGAGTGCACGCTAGGCGAAAAAAATAGGAAATATCTAAGCAGCATAAGGGCTTTTGGCAGTTTCCAACATTTCCCCATCTGAACTATGGAGTTAAAAAAGCAACATCTCACCGAATCGATTATATCCACGCTTTTGTGGAAACAACTTCGCGTCGTATTCGACGTCTGAAGACTCACACTGTACCCGGTGAACATTACCGGCAATTCGCTGAAAATGGCTAGTTCAATTTCAAAAAGGCTCTAAAAAAATCTTTTCTCTGTCTTACCTAACGAAAGCGCAAATGCATATGTAGATGATGATATGTTTGGTCTTCTCTGGGGTGCAAAATCTAGAAGAATTATTTGTAAAAGAATTTGTAAAGAGGTCAAAATCAACAAACTTGACAACTAGTGATGGAAGGCAGACGTAAATATATCGCTGAATAGCTAAATATACCGTCAACCATATGGCTGCAGTGTGAAATCTGAAATGTAAAATTTATCATACGAAATTTTGCGGTATGAACCTACATAGTGGGGAAGTGCACAGCAAGGTAAGGATGAGTCTTGCACCAGAAATCCGGCAAGCCATACTGTTGATCGTGATAAAGACCGCCGAATGTATAGTAATACAGAAACCATGGACACGAAGATAAACCTTCAAATTACTGCGCTTTAAAGAAGGAAAAAGAAAGAATACGCGAAGACAATTTACCAGTCATAAGCTCCGTTATTGCCATTGAAAGCAGGATATAGTTCGTTGGCGTTCGTAGATTTTTATTTGACAATACCACAACTATGAATGAGTTTGTGATGAGCGTAATGAGGATAATTATCGGTGCTGCTAGACCATACAATGGTCGGGCCAACCATGGGGGTTGACTCTGAAACGATGAGCATTTACACGACAAGCTATATAATTCAAGGCAGCATGTCCAAAAGTTTGACGGCTTATTAGGGAAGTTTGATAGATAAGTAGCGAAATGGACAAACTTTTTGCACTACCAAAATACATAAAAAATAAAGTCTCGAAATTAAAACATAGATAAGGTGCCGGATTTTGTCAGAAAAAAACCAAGCAACCAAAAAACGAGTAAGGACACTGCAAGTGGTAATGTTACCCTATACTTCAATTAGAAGGAGCAAAATTGAAAAAAATTGCACTTTGTTTTACGGTGGTTTGTCGCTCTCACACGAAAATTTTGACGTAGTTCTACCGATTTTTTGGACGGTTTTCGATATGAGTCGGACCAAAAACTAATCGTTGGATACTGAAGTAATAAAAAGATAAAGATATTGTAGTTGGGTCGCGAATATATTTATATAATCTTTAATTTTCTGTTGACCTTATCTATTCGAATCATCATGATTGTATTGAAATACGACATTATATAACAAAAATCTATGATAGATTCGAACGAATTTGAAAACTTCCAAAACTATCCAAATATTTTGGTGCACATAGAGCAGGACTAAAAAATATACAGGAAAGAAAAGGGAAACTGCTTTCTTTTGAAATTGCCTTCTTGTTTTTCTTCTGAATTGAGAGGGAGGGAAGGGGGTGTCTCTTGGAAGAACTTGTGAACAATCCGATTTAGTATCTAATAACCGTTTTTTACCCAATAAACGGTATTAGCTACGAGCGGCCATTTACATTTCGCACGCCCACATCCCTTCGCTAATAATCTTCAGGAACGCTCCCCAGAGTGTAGTCAGAGCAATTGAAAAGCTATGGTATGTAGTTTTTACTATAAAGTTGATCAACCACTTGACATAATTGTGCTTTGTGCACTGGCAAAGAAATAAGGCATTTATATTCGCGAGCATTCGGTTTTTAATTTGTGTTTCAAATTAAGATACATGAATCAACTTGCAAAATGAACATGCTGAGAGAAAGGTTTTTGTATCACTCACTTTTGCACCACTTTTTTTTACAGAAAAGTTGCATAAAAATCTATAAAACTTCTGGATGCTGAGACGCTCATTTCTGGTAATAGAATCTGTTTTTATTAATCAGCAAAAAACGGTTGTATCCCAGAAACTTTTAGCAGTTATACATAGTGACTTATTCGAAATATGATAGAATGCTACAGACCACTTAAAAAAAATTAAATCACCCTGACAATTTGCACCAACCTGAGATATATTGACGATATGTACAAGCCGCGTTGAAGCACTTTGCGGTAGGTCCTCTCCTTCCCAAAACGTCCCCCATCCAAGGAGATTGAATAAATCCAACATAGGATTAGTACCTGAAGTTAAAAATTTTGTTATTACATAACGACATCGTGGTAAAAAGCAGCGGAACATTCGAAGAAGAACGTGGTATACATTTAGGAATAAAAGAGCAAAGTTTACTAGAGCTGAACCATTTGAGAGCCTTTGAGAATGAAGCTTGACATCTCTATCTGTACTCTAAGTCTTATATTCGATTACGGTAAGTGCATGAATGGATTTGATCTGCAATCCCACGACAGCAAATCGTACGAGATTGAGTTTCCTCTCTGCCCTTTCGCGTGTCATTCTCGAATTCTGAGACGAGCTTGGCATGTTTGCCACACGGTCAGGTCTGGTCAGTAGAGAGAATAAAAACTAACAAAAAGAAAACCAATGACTAACACAATCGACTTCATATAAGTAATTTTACATATATGACAAAACGTCACATCCTTCAGAATGAAGATTTTTGGTTAATCTCAGTCGCATTCAATGCTGTTTTACATCTTTCCTAAAGTTATGCTTCTTGCAGCTCATCCACGATTTGTAGATTATTGCAAATTCCGGAATCCATGGTTTTGGCTACGCCCAAGCGCCTTGCTAATTTTGCTAAATTTTTATATCAGCTCCTGTGTAGAGCAAATTCAACAAGACAAGGAATTTCACAGGCTTTTTTCATTAACTCAGCGATTTTGCAAGAAGATCATTTCTTTAAAAGTATTGACATTCTGTATTGATGGATAGTATGTGACTGCACTTCAATCTTCAAAGCTTCTATTTTGTAACAATATTTGTTTATCAATAAGCTCTAATTTTGCGATACTGTCAAGCTTTACTCGCCTGAAAAATTCGATTTTGAGATGTCAGATATAGTAATGATCTGACCTGGTGCTAGAAACCCAGGTTTTTTGAGGAAAAAACATTTTTCCAAAAAGTCTAGATAAGCCGCATATACTGCTAGGTTTGCTCTATCTGCGCACTGTGTATTCTTTGCTGAGAGAAAAGATACCTTTATGAAGTTGAAGCTTGTCAATCCTCACAGCGTTTGGGATTCTGAGAGAATACAATCTGTAGATATGGAAAGGAAAGCACCGATTATCAAGGTCACCTACGAGTCTTCATTCTGATGGATGTGGCTCACAAGCAATGAGAAGTTACGTTTCGGAACGATCCGATACAAAAGAAGCTTTTTTACTTGTTGCATTTTACTAGATCTTGCGTACTCTTACGTTAAAACGATAGCACTATCAGTCACTAAAGAATAGAATTGTTTCATCCTTTTTTTTGAATAACAAAGCCAGTAAAGAGGACATGTAGTAGAAACTGATACCGGGAGAAGAGTTCAAGAAATGAAGAGATTCTTCAAAGTGGTAAGCCGTTCTTTCTCTCTACCAGACCTTTGATAATATCTCTCTAAAAAAAGTAGCATGATAAGGTATTCAAAATGAAGATAATCAAACGAGGAAGTAACTATTAGCCTTATAAGAACCCTATGGCTATCAAAGAATCACTGTAACACTGGCCAGGAGGAAATCTCACCCTTGTTTGCAAGCACTTTTTTGAAAGAAAACATCAGCATGAACTTCTAAGACGCAAAATGAATGGCAGCATTTATGGATACAATGAGTAGCAAAAGACATGCATACTTCATTCTTCTGCAGCGCATTTGATTCTAATGGGAGGAATAACAATAAAGAGCAATTCGTAGAGCAGATCATTTGGCGAAAATGAAAGTCCATTATAAAATATGCTGAACATGCAGAATGTTTTCATTTGAATTTATATGATCTACATTTTCAAAACTCTGTAGACGTCGCCAATAATTCGATCGTTAGCAAGTGAGTACATATGCATAATTGCAAGGAGGTAAAAAGGTATTTTCATTTGAAAATGACATTTGCCTTGTCTCGGTCAAAATAGTCATGTCTTTGATGGAACACATATTTTGAGTCAATATCTGCTGAAACTCCTAGAAAGGTGGTAAATTATGTATCAAAAACAATTAATCTTGCTTCGATGTCGCTTCGATGAGATTTGATCAAACTAAGTATCGATAAGGATGAATCAAGGGTACAAGCCGTTCTCAACAAAACAATTTTTGGAAACGAGATCAAACTGACGACAAATCGGAGGCATTTTTGCAATTTTTTTAACTTCCATATTTTTCTCGAAAATTCATTTGTCCGCCTGTTTTCCTATTCCTGCAGCTAAAATACTTTTTCGATTGACTTCAGAAGATTTGAGCTTTTTGCCAACATCAGTCATATAGTTTAGGGAAAGCAGTTGCTCGATATATAAGCCATCAAGAAACTATGCTAAAAAAGCGAATCACAAGCCTAAGCAAATGGAACGTGTGGAGCTATAGATGAAAACATTTTGCGGCATCTTTAATCATGCTTTTGATACAGACAACTCACAGTCGGATAATCAATTCGACTGATAATAAATCCCAAAATGTGAACCACATCACAGAAATTTCTCAAAGCTTATAAGCCACAAATCTGCTTCGACTATTCCAACATCGTGAGAAGTAAAAGTCGTGTTGTGGTCGAGAGCTCAAGCTAAAAGCGACAGAAATCCACAATTAGCTGCCCCTCAGCTAAAGCATGTATTTCAATCGTATGAAAATTTTCATTCTTACTGTCATCCTTTTTTCTCTATCCTAGCGCTTACAACTCAGTTCTCAAAGTAGTGGAGAACTTATATTCCTCTATTCTGGATAACACTGGGATGAGACATACAAAAAAATAAGCAGATGAAATTAAGCACAATGAATTTTGTTGCTTGAAGTGCATCGGAGCGAAAGGGAAGCGTTACAGTTCTTCGCAGGTGACTAAACCATTTTCTACCAAAATCAAAGCAGCTAAATTCACTATAAAGTACACTGAAATTGAACAATGAAACAGCAGTACAAGTCGCTCGATGCTCACAAAAAAAGGAAGCCAGAAATTCACAATTTCTGCGTAAGCATAGCACAAAACATATTTTTCCAGTCTTCTTGCTGCAATAAATCATAACAAGCGACAAAGAAAGCAATCTTTTCCGATAGATTCTATGCGATAAAAAGATGAGAGAGAAGGTTTGAAGAAGCAGCATATATCCGCAAACTATGTAAGGAAAGTAAAATATAACCTTCAGCGTACAACGGGGAAAACTTGAATATTTGCTATCTAGAATATGAGCTTTGGCTTCGGAGTTTGCGAAAGTGGAAAACGAAGTGTACCTGATTTCGCATATGATTACCTCATATAAGATCTCTGTGGACGATTGTTGAGATGTAAAGATGTACATCTTCTTTACTTTTAAACTTTTCAAAAAGGACTCCATATGCTTAGACAATGTCAGGTGAGGTAAAACAATATGCACTCTGCATGCTTCGGAATTTCGTATTGAAAGCGCATAATACCAAAAAACTCACCCATTCGTGACAACTCTATTAGTTGAGAATCATTTTTAGAACAATGTAAGAATGGGGGTCTCCGACCATTCCAACCCTCGCTGGTGAGTGTGCCTTACTTTGAAAACGTTCTTTAGGGTCTGGATCTACTCAAGCGTGCAGAAGTCCGTATTTCAACACTTGTCTTTTGTAATGGAACAATTTTTTATTTTGCATTACTAACTGTAGCAAAAGAAGCGATTTTCCAGGGATTTCTAGTGTTCTCAGGCATGGCAGTAATTCTACCGTCACCGCTCTGCTCTACTGCATAATGCAAAAGTGTGCAATTACACAAAGTGTCACTGGAATGAGCTCGACCGTACATGACATGCAGAAAAATGTTTGAATACAATAAAACTTGTAGCGTTGTTTGAAAGGAATATAAACGCTGTATGCTCGTTAGCAGTAATTAAACTAAAAAACATTAGCTTCGGTGTGCATTCAAAAGAAATCCCAATCTCTAGCCGAAGCGGTGAACATGACGGAAGATCACTGTGAGGTATGAAGCGATTCAACATGTGGGGACAAAAAAGAGAATTAATCAAAATTCTGCGCGCATGCTGATTTTTTAAGACAAGACAAAACAAATATAATTTATACAAAACTATGCGTCGAATGGACAGGCCATATATCTTTGTATTCTTTCTCCTTTTCCTGGAACTTAAAAGAAAACTAAAAAGAGGGTGATGACCAACTTATTACTCGTATGCTTGTACTGAAACACAAGTAATATGGAGAAAGAAAATTGATAAATAGATGTTGCCTAGCATCCATTTTCATACATAGAAAGTACGGATTCAGTAAAAAAATGCTTAAAAGTATCAACTGAAGGGAGTTTCTGAAAGCAAAGCATATTTAATGGGTTTAATCAACAAGCAGCGCCTCAAAGGCAGTTCGACATGCGCTGCGATATTATAGGTGGGAAGAGATATCGAACTAGACTCTATACAAGGACCTTAACTGTAAAGGGCACTAAGCAAATGAGATTACCTTTTTGTTTCGACATTTGCAAAAACAAGTCGGCATTTTTTGCACGTCTTCTTTTCAAACGCTAGATTCTAAAGGAAGAAGCAAGTATAAGGCAAAATGTTTTTCAAATGCTGGGGAGGCAATTCCAAAGGCATTTTTCCCCGTCATATTGTCGCTTAATTTCTCATAGACCGTACATAAGGCTATGAGGCTATAATGTCCCTAGCAAATCTTTTTTCCAATGCCCAGTTTCTGGTGCCCTATTCGCATAGTAATAGTGCTCCTGTACTCATGGTGTTAATGAACTAGTGCTGAAACTGAGTATCGGAAGCTCGCATAAGCAATTAAACCATCCAGACTGACACTTTTCAAATGCTCAGAGTAAAATGTTTCATGTGTGAGACTGCAGCCTGCCTGCTGAGATAGACAATCAACTATACAAAAAAAGAATAGAAAACAGCTTTTAAAACATTAGCATCAGAAGATACGGCAGGAAACTAATGGACACATTTGTTTCTGCTATAACGATAGTGTAAACCAATCATCGTTGGCAAATGTTCTGTTTTATGCTGCATGCAGAATGCGCGTTCCAGCAGCGTGCCACCGCCGTTCCAGCACCATGTTG